TTCAGCAGGTGAACTGATGGGTGGCCTGTTTCAGAGCACTGAGGTGCTGCTGGCATCTGCTCTCAGGACAGGGGATGGTTGGTGATGTAGTCCCAGCTGAGCTTATCTCCTGCTAGTTTGGGGGAAGATCTCTGCAACTCTTGAACCGCAGCAGAGTTCATAAGCCCTGCTTGTGTTCTGCTCTTGCAAAGAATGTCAGTTGCTCTTTATGTGCATTTAGATAAGGAAGTCAGGGATGAGTCTTAGTGTCCACTCTGAACTCATCTAATCATGGAATGGTGTGGGTTGGAAGGGACCTTAATGTTCATCTGGTTGCAACCCCCCTGCATGGGCAGGGACACCTCCCACTAGACCAGGTTGCTCAGAACCCCATCCAACCTGGCCTTGAACACTTCCAGGGATGGGGCTTCCACAGCTTCCCTGGGCAGCCTGTGCCAGTGTCTCACCACCCTCACAGTAAATTATTTCTTCCTAATGTCTCACCTAAATCTGCCCTCTTCCAATTTTAATCCATTCCCCCTCGTTGCTGATGTTTATTCTGTCTCCACAGGCTCCGGGGCAGCGCGAAGATCTGGTCCAAATCAAACTAGTTGGATCTCCCTTCACAACTGGGAGGGTGAGAGGAAGAGATCTGGGAGATGGAGGGGTAGCCAGGGTCCCAAGTGTGATGCTTCTGAGCTCTTCTCCAAGATCTATCTTGCCAACTAATTCACCTGCATGTTTGTTCTCTTTCCTGTCTTTACCAACTGTCCAGGCAGTGCCTCCCTCTTGGTGACATCATTTCACACTTCCAGCTGTTTGCCTTGCTGTTTCTCCTCCCCCTCCAGCCCCCACGGCCCAGTGCTCCTCTCTTTCTCTCTCCCTGTCTCTTGGCAGGTCAATTTAAAAGAGCCATAAAACTGTGTTGGTCACCTTGGCACCTGGAGGGCATCACAGGAGCTTGGAAAAGAGGCTGCTGGTGCTCAGCAATCATTTTGGCTCTCTGAGACCCTGGGGTACTTTGCTCTGGGGTGCAGCTGCCATCTTGGATTGTTTAATCTTTGTTTTGCTAGGTGGGAGGGTAGTTTTTGAAGGGATTCTTTTAAAGATATATAAATATATTATAAATATATATAAAACAATAATAAAAAATATAGATCTATGGACATATCTATACAAACTTGTGCTCCCGTGGTGGTGTCGCTTTGGCTTGTATACTGATCCTGGATGTTTCCAAAGAAGTTCTGACACTGAGAGCCCATTGCTGGGCGGAATTATATCCTCAAAATATTGGCCTCCTTTTCCAAAGGACAGTGTCACAACAGCACAGTAGAGCTGGGATGAGAGTCCACAAAGCAGGAACAAATAATAAATCTTATTTAAAGAGTTCTTGTGTGCTTGATTTGCCTCTGCAATGCTCAAAAGAGGTGCTTTCCAGAGGTAGGTGCAGAGATTGAGAATAAAGTATCTGTATGACATGTCCAGTGACCCTGGACAAAATAGGAAGGGATGTGGAGACTTGTCTGACATGAAGGTAACAGAGTTGGTGGCTGTCTGGGTGAGTTTCCATGGTAGAAATGCTGCTTGTGCCATTCTCAGGTGATGTTGGAATCTGGTCAAAAAACACGTCTTTGATGAGTTTGCCTCCTGTGAGATGTCCAGAAAAATCAATCAGTCTTCAGAGTATGCATCCCTGAAGCTGGCTCAGAGCCCAGTCAGAGGGATGGGAGTGTTGCACTGCTGTTGGAAATGGGAATTGGCACTGTGACTCCTAGCCCTGCATCCTTCTCTTTCCTTGTGCCAGTGCCTGACCCTGAGGGTCTGTGCACGAGCAAACTGCCAGAAAAGCCACCCAGCCACAGAAAGCCCTGGTCTTTGTCTACAGGGAGACTTTTTCAGTTCCCTGGTCTGGGTGAGTTTTCTTTGGGGTCAGCTCCTCATGCAGAGAAAGGGAAAGCTGGAGCTGAGGCAGTGTGGGTGGGAGCCAGCCTGGTGAAGGAGAGAGGGGGTGAGACCCTGCTGGTGTTGGTGGTGCAAGGTGGCATCACCTCAAACACCACAAAACCCTGATTTGTGTGATATCAGCTGGTTTGCTAATTCCAGACTCCTGCTCCAGGGATGAACCAAGCTGTCCCAGGGTGACTTGTCACTGGCTGAGGTCTCTGAAGATCTAGGGCAGCCCCACACCTTTCCCTTGGTCTGTCCCCTGAGGCATCAAGCACCATAGCTTTAGTCATCTGGCAGAGAGATGTGGCCCCAAGTTGTGCAGACAAGAGCTGTAGATGTGGCTGCAGGAGAGCCTGAGGGGGCAGCCCAGGCTGTCCCAGCCCACCCAGAGAGGTCTGGTTCGTTTGCAGCAGTTGGGAGTCTACTTGATGAGTCCTGTTCTCCTGGAGTTGCAGGAGGGGTTGTCACAACTCTTCCAGCTTTTGTCTTAAATCACCTTGAACTTTCCTCCCTGCGCATCACGTCACCTTCATTTGTCTCGTCTGTGAGGAGAAGGGTGTCCATGGGCATCACATTCTCCAGCTCCCTGGAAAGGGCTGGTCTAGGACCCAAGTGCCAGCAGAGGAGGTGGTACCTGGTGAGGCCTGAGCACCTGCCAAACATCTGGTACCTCCTGCCCTTGGAAAGAGGAGCCACTTGCAAAGCCCAGCCAGGAGTGATGTGAAGGAGAGAGGAGGATGGAGTTGGGATGGAGCCAAGCAAAGCACATATTTTAACACATGGAGCTGGGCTGGAATGGTGGCTGGAAGGGGCTGGGACACCTCCAGTGTCACTTCCCAGGACAGCTGAACTTGCCAATAATGGAGGAAGATGTTTATGCCCCAGAGAGTCCCACTGCTGATTAAGCAGCTGTAACAGCTTTTTGTCCCAGGTGTCTTGGCTCCTCTCTGGCCGTTTGGGCTTTGCTCTCTTTAACCACACTTAAGCACAAGGGGTCTTTTTAAACCTCCTGAATCCACAGTTCAGATCCAGGCTGCAGATCCTGGGAGTGGAACTGGAAGCATCCCTGAGCCAACACCAAGAGCTCTGTGCTGGCTGTGCTGTGGAATTCAGAAGCTTTTGGGATGAAACAGAGAGAAGGGCACCTGCACAGCTCTGCAAGCCTTCCATGGGGTTTACACCTTTCAAGACCCCCATTAAGAAAAAGGAAGCAGAAGGCAGCAGATGAAATTGCTTCAGACCTTTGATATGACTGAAAAATAAATGAGGGGTGTGCAGTGCAGAATGGAAATACTGCTGCAAATGGCCTTGGTGGGTGGCAAATAGCAGGAGGGAGCAGAGGTTTCCCTTTGCCCTTCACCTGAAATCCCACACTTTGTATTTCCCTGCTCACGTCAGCCATGGCTCTGAATTTCAGTCAGGGAGGATATGAAGATTAATTAATTAGTTAACATTTATAAATCACTTTGAAGATGGCAAGAGTGAGATAAGTACTGAGCATTATTCTAAGTTTTCATTTTAATTTTAAATGTCTTTGTGTTTTAACCCTATTTTTTCCTGAAGAAAAGACTCGGATACCTTGAGTAGAGCAGAACAGAAATACCTGGACACCCTAAACCCTGGCAAAGGGGGTGGAAGGAGAGAGGGTAAGGAGAAGGGTTAGTCCCAGCTTGAGGAGCAGATGTCTTGCACAGTGACTCATTGCAACCCTCTGTTGGGTGTTACCTGTGCAGCTTTCACATCTGGATTCAGAAGAGTGAGGAGGTAGAGCAAGACCTGAATGGCTCTGGTGTTTGTGTCTGACTTCTGCCAGCCTGTGCCAACAGGTAACCACGGATTCTTAGTAGGAACTGAGGCTAATAGTGCTAGTCCTTATTGCACTACGGGGGGCACAG